CCCAGGGGGTGGGCTGTAGGCACCTCTTGGAGAGGGCAGGCATTTATCCCCAGGGGCCACAGAGAGGAGGCTGGGAGCCAGGCAGCTGGAGGGTGGTATGGTCATAGGGAGACAGTCTGGCTTCTGTGATGTCCCTGAGTCCCTGCCCCAGGCCAGAGCACCCTCACCAGACCTCTGAAGCAGCCATGGCAAATTTTATTCTGAGCTGTGGGAATTTGCCATGGCCCTGTATGGCCCCAGAACCCCACCCCCAGGAGGAGCCCATTTAGGGAATTCCAGGAGCCACACCCTGCGCAGGCAGCCGGCACCTGACCCCAGAGCTCAGCCTGCTGCCCCCTCTGAGTCCAGAAACTGGACTTAGATGCTCCCTGAGTAGCAAGGACACCAGGCTGGCAGGCAAGAGCCTCCCTGTGTGTGACCTTGGGCAAGCCACTTAAAGGCTCTGAGTCTCAGCTTTCTCATCTTGGCTCATCTCATAGGTTTGTTGTGAGGACCAGATGGGACGACTGACAGGAACACACTCTCTAAACTGTGAGGGACTGGGGCAGAGCCAGGGTAGCGAGATAGCTTGTTTGGGGCTGGTAGCTTGAGGAAGACTTTGACCTTCAGCCATAGAAAGCTGAGTGCTATAGGAGGTGAGAACAGCACCAGCAAAGGTGCAGAGGTCAGAGAGCTTGTGGCCCACATGGATAGGTGGGCCTTGGAGGGCAAATGTGGGAAAGACAGTAGGAGAGGTTGGAATTAGATCAGGGAGGGCCTTGAAGACCACACAAAGGAGTCTGGACTTTGTTTGTTGGGCCATAGGGAGCCATCGAAGGTGTTTGAGCAAGGGAGAACCTAGGCCATCACTATGCTTCAGGAAGAGAAACTTTCAAACATGGAAACTTCCATCTTGTCCCTTCGGAGGAAGAAACAAGGACTCCGAGAAGACTGTAATTTCCCAGAAGCTTTGGTACTTCCCCATGTTTGTGACTTTCCTAGTTCCTTGTGGTGATTACCCACAAAACCTAAAACCAGACACTATGGAACAAAGTCAGGGGAGCCGGGCAAGGGGCAGCCTGCTCTGAGGCCCATCAGGAGAAGAAGGAGCCCCAGGGGGTGGGCTGTAGGCACCTCTTGGAGAGGGCAGGCATTTATCCCCAGGGGCCACAGAGAGGAGGCTGGGAGCCAGGCAGCTGGAGGGTGGTATGGTCATAGGGAGACAGTCTGGCTTCTGTGATGTCCCTGAGTCCCTGCCCCAGGCCAGAGCACCCTCACCAGACCTCTGAAGCAGCCATGGCAAATTTTATTCTGAGCTGTGGGAATTTGCCATGGCCCTGTATGGCCCCAGAACCCCACCCCCAGGAGGAGCCCATTTAGGGAATTCCAGGAGCCACACCCTGCGCAGGCAGCCGGCACCTGACCCCAGAGCTCAGCCTGCTGCCCCCTCTGAGTCCAGAAACTGGACTTAGATGCTCCCTGAGTAGCAAGGACACCAGGCTGGCAGGCAAGAGCCTCCCTGTGTGTGACCTTGGGCAAGCCACTTAAAGGCTCTGAGTCTCAGCTTTCTCATCTTGGCTCATCTCATAGGTTTGTTGTGAGGACCAGATGGGACGACTGACAGGAACACACTCTCTAAACTGTGAGGGACTGGGGCAGAGCCAGGGTAGCGAGGGGAGGTGATTTCCCAGTGGGGTGAGTGGGATGCTCCCTCTGGACATGGGGTGGATGGTTCAGTGGGGCTCAGACCCAACCTGCAGTAGCATTAAATTTCACCGTGGGAAAGTTCTTGCCTTGTTGTCTGGTGGCTGGCCAGAACGGGGATCCGAACCCTTGACCTTGGTGTTACAACACTTTGCTCTAACCAGCTGAGCTAACCAGCCAGCCCAGATTCCTGTAACATTTTAAATGTTATCTCTTCACTAGGCAACTCTGTGTCTAGGGATTTATCCTATGGAAATGAAAACTTAAATAAATGTGCAAAAGTAAATATATTTTACAAACAGTGGTCATTGCAGCAGAATTTGTAACTGAAAAATTGGAAATAACCTAAATGCCCCTCAATAACGGATTGGTTAAATATTCATGACACAGGCATGCTTTTAAATTATGTGCAGCTCTCAAAATAAATGAACTAATATCTGCATATACCAATGACCTGTGAGTATGCCCATGATATATTGTTAAGTGAAAAACAGAAGGTTGCAAATGGTAGTGATAGCTTTGCTTAACATTATAGTTATATGTTACAGACAGGTACAGATACAAAATGCAAATCTAAATATGGATATAAAGGGGAGAAAAATCTTGAAGAATACAACTTGAAGAGACAGAATTTCCACAAGATAAATTCCTACACGGAGAGTTGCTGAATAAGGAAAGGAAGCATTTAAAATGTTATCGGAGTCTAAAACACAAAAATACAGTCTTCTCTTTCTGTATTATATATTTTGGTAATGGATTTAAAAACACAGACATATATTACATAAATACTTTTATAAAATTATTTTTTTTCAGATCACAGGAATTTTGATGAAGTTACTGCTAATAACGTCGAAGCTACTTACCTAATACAAAATCCATGGGGTCATATGAACTTATAGTTACACAAATTAGAAATAAACGGTATGTTCAAAACTGTAAGGAAATATCCTGATGCCCAGTAAAGTTAATTTTTAATTGTTGTAAAACTGAACAATAAACTTATATAAAAGAGGCCTTCTAGAGACTGTGTCCTAATTCAAAGAAGGGACATTAATGAGGGCTGTGAGGCCCCTCATCAGCTGAAGATCAGGGTCCCAGCAGGAATAGCCCCTTTCAGTTACTGAACAATAAACTTATATAAAAGAGGCCTTCTAGAGACAGTGTCCTAATTCAAAGAAGGGACATTAATGGGGGCTGTGAGGCCCCTCATCAGCTGAAGATCAGGGTCCCAGCAGGAATAGCCCCTTTCAGTTTTTCCCTCTTTTTTCCAGGAACTAGGACTCTGGCTGTGAGTGGGGTGACGGAAGAATTGTGTAGTACAAGTGGCTCATCTGTCTGGAGGAAAATTCCAGCTCACCCATTTTCCCTGGGCCATCCTGAGTGGAGAGGTTGGGAGCCAGAAGCCCAGCAGGGGCTGACCTATAGTTACCCCAGACCCCCACACCCCCACTGCACAGAGGCCTGAGAGGTCCAAGCCCTCCCCCAAATGGTTTTTGATTACTTTTACCTAGCCTTCAGATTCACTTAGCTCTTCTCTCACATCCAGCACTTTCCTATTCTTTCTTTCAGGAACGCACCGCACCAGAAAGGTCTGAAGTCAGGAGATAGGAGTCGGCTCCCAGGCTTTCCCACTCCTTGGCTGTGACCTTGGGTGGGCACTTTACATCTCTGAGTGCTGACCTGGGGGAGTCAGCCAGGCCTGGCTCCTGTCCCATCCCAGCCACACCAATCAGATGATCTTGGGCAAGTCACTTCAAAACCTCCCTGAACTAGAATCTCACCTATAATCTGCGGTGATAGTAGTAGGATAGTTCACAGGACTGATGTGAGGGTAACATGAGAAAATGTGTGTGAAGCAACCAGACAGCCCTGGCTAGTAGTAACTGTTGGAGAACTGTTAGCCAGAGTGTGATTATCCTTTATCTTTGTGGCATTGTTAGTTCCATGTACCCCTGAGGAAATTGAAGTCTGATGCATAATCCACTTAGGGTCCCATAAGGAGCAGGCCTGAGATGGAGGGAGCCCAGGCGTCCTGCTTTTCAGATGGAAGCTTTCCCATGGGCAAAGATAATCCTCGTCTGGAATGTGGGTTGTTTATTCTCTTTACAGGGCAGATCTGGGTATTGCCTTAGTCAACTCTTGCCACAGCCAGGAGAGAAGAGGTCACAGGCTCTGGGTATTTTCTGAAGCCAGGACCCCCAGGAAGGTGGGCCAGTTCTGACAGCCATGGAGGTTTTCCCCTGGAATGGCTCAGCTGCCCCTGAGTTGGCAGCTGGACCTGTGAGTCAGAGCTGCCCCAGGGTTCCGTTCCTCTCCCCACTTGCAGCCACAGCCCCAAACTCCTGGACAGTCCAGGAAGGCTTGAGGCTCCAAAATGAGGTGCCCCTCCCCCGCTCAGAGAGTACAAGGATGGCCCAAAGACACATGGTGATTAGGTGATAGATTTCAGGCTGCAACCTGGTTCCACCTCAAGTGACCCCTCCCAAAGGGGCAGGTGGGAGGGCCAGGAAGCCCTAGCCTGTGTCTGGGACCCTTGTACTCTGCCCCCTGCCCCAATAGCTCTATTGCCCTTGGCCCTGTGCTGCTACCTGGGTCCCACAGGCCTGGGCTCAGCAGGCCAGTACTCAGCTGGCCAACAGGTGCCAGGATGCCTGGCTCATGCCAGCCCCACAAGAACTAAACTGTGGCAGCTGTGAAGGGTCTGGGACCTGCCGGGTCTGCACCCCTCTGCTCAGCCTGGCTAGACTCTGCCCTCCCCTGGCCTCACCCTGGCCGTACTGCCCTCCCTTTCCTCTTTTCCTCTTCCTCTTCTCTCTCCTCCACCCTCTCCCTCACTTCTCCTTGCTCTCTGCCCCCTTAGGGGCTTTGTCTGCCCTATTCCTACCTGGGACCCCACCATGGGCTCACCTGCACCTGGAATCTGGGCTCTAGCGGATGCCTCTCACAAGCCATACCAGCCTCATCTGGGCCCGTGGGCAGAGTGCAGGGAGACTGTCCCAGTTTAGTAGCCAAAGCCAAAGCACATGGTGGGGATGGGAGGGGGTTGGGGGGAGGGTAGCAGGAGGGACTCTGGCTCCTGAGCCCCAGAGCCTCTGAACAGTCCTACCAGCCCCACATTCTCCTGCCCAACCCAGTGCCAGGCACTGCAGAGCCAGAAAAGCCTTCTCACCTCACACTTTGGGAAACCAAGCCCAAAGTCTAGGTCACCCAGCTACTAGTAAGGGTGGGAGTGTGAACATCCCCATTTTACAGAGGAAGGAAATGAGACTCACTGTCTGGGGATCTGGACCCCAACCCACAAGAGACCACAAAGTCCATGACTGAGAAGCACCAGGTTTAATATTAAAATCTTCTTCTTAAAAAAAGTACACAGATAGGAAAACTTAACAGCATACAAAATAGCACTTCTATTGTATAAATGTGAGTTAACGTGAGTCCTAAAAATACTTGTAAACCTAGGTGATTACATCTTTGGTACCGTAGTGAGAACCCACTCCCCGCCTCCTTGGACCAGGCTTTTGGGCATCCCAGGGCAGGAGGTGCCAACCAGCATAGGGGGCTGGCACCAGAAGGGTTGAGCTACCCTTCTTTCCAGCCCTTCTCCTGCCAGTGGTCGTGGCCACAGCCCTCACTCCTCTGGCACCTCTAATGCCCACTGGGCTGGGGACCATTCCCCCGCAGGGTTCCCATGCCTCAGGGATGGGGCAGGTGGCGGGTGAGAAGGCAACCCCCCAAATGCCTGCCTCTCCACCCCTCTCTCATGTGAAACTTGTCCTAGGGTTCCCATGCCTCAGGGATGGGGCAGGTGGCAGGTGAGAAGGCAACCCCCCAAATGCCTGCCTCTCCACCCCTCTCTCATGTGAAACTTGTCCTTTGCAGGACATAATTGTCCTAACTGTCTATTATGTCTGCAGAACAGACCTTGATGGCAGGTGCTGGAGTAGTGGGATGCACAAGGTGAATTGACTTGTCCTCTCTGCCCAGGGTAGCTCCAGAGGTCATTGTGGGTGCTGAAAGGGCTCCCATGGTCTTCCCATGTCCCTGGGGCAGCTGCTGGGGCTTTCCAGGACACTAGCTATCACTCCAAGTCAAGGCTTGGGCAGCTGCATTCTTGGGACTTGCTGGGGGTCTGGGGAAGAGGCACAGTTTCTGAATCCCCAGAGTGTGATGTGTGGTCTGGAATCTCCCCAGAATCCCGCTGACCCCCAGGATGGCAGTTTGGGGTATTTGGCCTTGCTTCATCTAGACAAGTGTGCAACCCCCTGGAATATTCTAGAATGTCAGTGCTGACAGGGCACTTGGAGTTACTGAGTCCAACATGCTCATTTTTCAAAGGAGAAAACTGAAGCCCAGATAAGGTGAGGGATTCCTTCAAGGTCTCATAGCAGGTCCAATGCAGATTCAGGGCAACATGTTGGTGCACATATGTGGACACTTCATGCTGGTACATCACACTCATCACAGACGTGGGGCCTGTGGGGCCCTGCAGACTCTGGTGATGAGGAAAATGCCCTGGGACTGATGGGCCTGGAAGTCCTGCACAAAGGCACTTTCTATGTCCAGGTGTGCCCCGAGGACCCTGGGCAGGAATACAGGCCGGAAGTCTTGGACTTGGCTCAGCCCCCAGCATTAATTAACACAATTAAGTAAGCACAGATGGCCCCAGACCAGCTCGGGCCCAGGAAAGCAGAGACTGGCATCGTGGGGGGTGGCTTCTGCAGGAAGCAACACTGTTCATGGCCAGGTCCCAGCTCAGCCAGGAGCCAGGAATGCTAGAGTCTGTTCCCCAGCTCCTGGGCAGATAAAAGTGTGTGAGAGAGTTGTGGCTCCTTGAGGGCTGAACAGAAAGAAATTAATTTACCACCTCATTAACTCAGAGATTCCAACCTCCCCACCTGTCAGCCAGGGGGAGAATTCCAGATTGTGCATCACCAAGCCCAACTTTCCCATCTTACATATGGGGAAACTGAGTCCCCTAAGGGGTACCCTGGCTCAGAGCCACATGGCCTCCCCAGAGGCAGAGGGCTGGTCAATGGCTCCTGCAGTTCTCTTGCTTCCTAAGCCAGCCCCAGGGTTTGGGGCACAACGTGTCCTGGGTAGAAGCCTTCCAGAGGGGACAGCTCTCATGGGGGCAGCCTGGCCAGTAGGAGGCCCAGCCAGGCCAGGCCAGGCCAGGAGGTGCTGGGTGCTTGGAGGCAGAGGGGAAGCTTCGGGCAGGACAGCGTGGGAACCAGCTCCTACAGGAAGCTGTCCTCCACTTCGGCCCTATGCCCAGGGCAGCCTGAATCCAGTGGCTTCTCCAGCTCCGGCTCGGGCTCCACCTGGGGCTCAGGCTGAGACTCTGGCTCTGGTTCTTCTTGGGGCTCCAGGGGGCTGTCACAGGAGATGGTGGAGGAGGTGTTGACTTCATTCAGGGTAGAGCTGGAGGAAGGAGGCAAGTGAGTGAGGCGCTGGGAGAGAACCACGGTAAAATAACAGCATGAACTAGGAGCTTTCTATGTGTCCCAACCTGCACCATGGACTTTACACAGTGTGGCTCATTTAATCCTTGTGAAGACATGCAGGGCCCACACTGTGAGGAGAGTGCAGCTCAGACAGGTTATGACATTGCCCCACTTCACATAGTGGGTAAGTGTAGGAGCCGGGACTTCAGAGCAGGTCCAGCTGGCTCCAGAGTTCATTTCTCACCCCCCAGTGCTGTCGTCCTCTACACTCCTAAAGGCATACATGATCTCATTTAATCCTCACAACCACCCCGATACAAGTACTTTTACTGTTTTCATTTTACAGAAGAGGAAACTGAGATTCAGAGAGATGAATGAGCGTGGCTGAGGGCATAACACATGGCCAGCATTCACACCCCAGCCTGTCTGAACTCTGTGCTTCACCCGCCTGCACTGCCTACCTGAGCCTCGGAACGCTAGCCTCTTCAAGAGTCACAGCAAAGAGGGCCTTCAGGGGCCTTCTGTGGCCCGTGTGTGCTCCTGGTACATACAGAGAAACTGAGGTTCTCAGAGGAGAAGCCTGCCCACATCTCATAGCAGCTTAGTGACAGAACTGGGATTATAACCAGCCTGGGGCTCCTGCCACTTTGCCTTGGGCTGGATCTTGTTTTGGGGGTGGGTCTGGCTTCATGGGGAGCCCTTCTCTCCAGTCAAGGGGGGATCCTGTCTGAACATCAAGTCCCAGCAACAGCTGGGCCTTCCTCTAAAGCCTTTCCCATACCACAACTTCACCACATCCCAAAGCAAAAGAAAATCACAAGTCTCCTTTACAGTTTGAATTCTGGCCTGATCCTGTAGGCACCTCTGTGTCCTACAGCCATGCCAGCCTCCCTGGGACCCTCAGGCATGGTGCTGCAAGACAGACCACAGGCTTTAGGCTGGCTGTGGTCCCATGGTAACAAGTGGGATGCTGGGAACACTGAGTAGGTTTTCTTCTCCTTGGGGCTAAAACAGGACCTACAGAGGGAAGAGTATAGATGACCTGTGGGGACTCCCTTAAAGGAAATAGCTACCTTGTAAATACGTCCCAGCCCATCCATTTTCTTACCAGCCTACCCTTTCCACCTGAGGTCATCAAAGCTCAACTCTCTCTTCTGTTCGCTGGCAGGAATAAGGACCCACCCCAGGTAAGGAGCCTGACACCACACAGGGCACTCACTGTGCACACTATTGCCTGGGGCCTGGGCCAGAGTGGCTACCTGGCAAGGCTGGGGGAGCCCTCCAGTGGACACTCATCAGCAGCCTCGGGTTTGGGGTCAGGCAGGGGGATGATATAGTCGTTGTCAGCCTCATTGGGCTGCACAGCAGTATAGAGGACAGAGCTGGTGTCCAGGGGAGATCGGAGGCCGTGGAATCCAGGCAAGCGGGCTTGGGACCGAAGGATGGCTGGATGGTCGCTCCTCAGAAACTCCTCATCCACTTGCTGGTACTTCTGCTCCACGGGGCAGGGAGAACCAGAGAACAGACAGTCAGACCAGAAATCCCTTTAGGGATCATCTTACCTAGCTGCTCCCCCTTGTATAAATAAGGCAACTGGTGCTCGAGAGGAAAGGGATTTGACCAAAAGCTGCACAGCTGAGCTGTGCTCCCACCTGGCATCTCCTAAGACAAGGTGAGCTCAGGATCACCCAGGAAGATGACCAGCACCTGAGACCCTAACTCTTCCCCCTACTTCAGAGTAGACAGGTACAGGCTCTCATTCTGTCTCAACCTCCTTTGGCAGGGCCTCAGTTTCCCTTGGTTTGAAACGATCATGACTCCATTCCATCTGACTGGTCCCTGGGACCGCCCCTAGGGATGGGAGTAGGGGTGAGAAATGGACCTAAGAAGAGGGGTGTGTCTGTGCCTAAGGGGATGTGCATCTCCTCCTCACTCTGAGCCCTGTTGTTGGACAGGACAAGGTTTTAGGGCTCTACTGGCTCCATTGCCCTAGGACAAGCCTGCAACAGGGTCCAAGTGGTCAGGCCATTAGTGGTCATGTAGCCTGGGGTTATTCACACTTCTGAAGGAGCCCTAGGATTTGGCCTGGGTGCAAAGGCCTGAGGAAGGCTACAGGACACACAGGGCTATAGGCCCCCTTCCCTGAGTCAAATCAATCACATCCACGTAGGATTCCATTTCACAAAACTCTGTGCTGCTAAATTAAACTCATAGCTCTGGCCATCCCTTCCTAGTACCAGAAGAGAAACTGAGGCCCAGAGAGGGTGACGGGTGGTTCCCCCAAATATCAGCACATCACATAGAATCTTGTACCCAGTGTCTGACTTCTGGACCAGAACTTTCTATTCCCCCCTCCCACCCTGCCTCAACATACCTTTTTGTAACCCTCGCCCAGCAGTCTCTCAAGAAGCAACACCAGCTGGGAGAATGGGGGCCGAATCTCAAACTTCTCTTCCCAGCACTTCTGCATGATCTCGTAACTGGGAAGAGGGGCAGAGGGGGTCAGAGTCCCTGGCTCAAGGTGCAAGGGGTGGGCGCAGGGGGCAGGGCTGGGGTGGGGGAGCTGGAGGTTGCTGTCCTTAGAACAAGGTGAGCAACAGAAAGGAGTTGGGGAGGAGTGGTGGATGGGTGCTGTTTTCCCATTATTGCCTCTGATATTCCCTTGGGAAGCCCTCCCAGCACCCCCAGTCCACTTGGTCCTGTGGGGTTGACCATGCCTTGGTGAGCACAAGACCCAGGTTTGGCCAATAGGAGTTTTCATCCCCTCAGCTCAGTGGCCAGTGCTGGATTGCAGGTGGCTCCAGCAGAGCCCTTGAGGGTCAGCTCTGGGACTTGCGCTGGAATTATAGTGCAAGCAGCTAGGATGTAAGGCTGGCACTATTGGCAGCCATCTGGGCAGTGCCAGCCTGGAAATGAGGCCAGCACAGAGGAAGGCAGAGGCTGGGGCAGAACAAGAGATACCTGATGACATCATTTGAACACCTAAATCCAGTTATACCTAGATTTTTCTAGATCTCTGAGCTAATAAAGCCAGCCTGGAAATGAGGCCAGCACAGAGGAAGGCAGAGGCTGGGGCAGAACAAGAGATACCTGATAACATCATTTGAACACCTAAATCCAGTTATACCTAGATTTTTCTAGATCTCTGAGCTAATAAAATCTATCTTTGGTTTAAGCAGGTAGAATTGGATAGGTGTTGTTTGTCCCCACAAAATCCTCCCGAATGCACGAGTCTGTACTCACATCTCGTCAGAGGCATGGGGAGGCTGGGCCATGCGGTAACCCCGCTTGATGGCATTGTAGAACTGCTCGTTCATGGGCAGCTCTGGGTAAGGGGTGCCACCTGTTGGGGAGCAGAGATGGGGAGACACATGCTTGGGGGGTGGAAAAGCATCAGAGTACCCTCTTCTGCAGGACTGGGAGAGGCACGGAGGTGTGAGTGGTCAGAGTGGACACCATGCCATGCTGCTGAAGGCTGTGAGAAGAAGCGCTCATACCCAGGGTGAAGATCTCCCAGAGTAGGATCCCAAAGGACCACACGTCACTCAGCGTGGTGTAGAGGCTGTTGAAGATGCTCTCGGGGGCCATCCACTTCAGAGGCAGGAAGGTCTGCAGGGAGGTCAGGATGGGTGCTGGGTACAAGGGGGCCCAAGTGGCCGGGAACCAGGCCACACTTAGCACCTGAGGCAGGAGGAGGAGGCCCGGCAGCTCCTGCCACCAGCTCCTCTCACTCCTGCTTCCTGCAAGGGCCTGCCTCCTCCCACTCTGTGCACAGTGCGGTGGCCCCCTTTCCTGTCCCTGCACACATGGCAGGGCAGGCCACGAGAAGCTCTGTGCTGATCTGCTGTGAGCCATGAGCTATGAGTGTGGCTGATCAGGAGGGAATCTGTTCCTGGGGTCAGACATACATGGTGCCAACCCTACAGGGGCCAGGGAAGGTACTCACACTGCCTTTGGAGATGTAGTTCGAGTCCCGCATGATGTCTCGAGCCAGGCCGAAGTCACAGATCTTGACCAGCTTGCCCTCGCAGATGAGCACATTCCTGGCTGCCAGGTCTCGGTGGACACACTAGTGGGGAGAGGGGAGGTGAGGCCTTGGGGGCAATTGTGGGGAAAGACCCTCCCTGTCAAGGGCTTTGGGGAAAACGCCTCACTGCCCAGGTGTGAGGGGCCACCCAGGTGTGAGGAAACTCACTGTCCCCATCCACCCGAGGGGCCGCGTACTTGCAGGACTCTGGCTGGCAGGGTGACCCATCTCCCCACAGCCCCCACCCTGTTCCACCACGACCAGACATACGTTCTTGGAGGCCAGGAACTCCATGCCATTGGCCACCTGGTAGCTGAAGCCCACAAGGTCCGTGTAGCTAAGCACTGGGGACTCGTTGATCAAAGTTGCCCGATAGGTCCTCTCAGGAGCTAGGGGAGAGCAGAGGGTCACCTGCCACCTGTGTCTCCCCATGGCCCACAGGAACCCTGCCCTTTAGCTCATGGGAGACTGAATATTCAAGACAGGTGGCTACTGATTCTCTAGGTCTCCCCAAAAGGAGAACGATTCTTAATATCCAACTTAAACTTCTCTTATTTTATCAGTGCCCTCATTGGCCATAAAACTTTTGGCATTAGTCCTTGGGTCACCTTTGCTTAGCCTGGCTTGCCTGCTTCTCAGAGACCCTACTAGATCAGCCTGGGCCAGCTCTGAGCAGATCACTTTTCCCTCAGGTCGCGGGAGGCCAGGTGCTCCCCACCCCAGCTCTTCCCCTCCCTGTGGACGCCTCTGGACCCATAAACAGGGGTTCATATTAGGGTTTCACTACACAGCAGCTTTGGGCAAGTGGTTAGCCTCAGTTTCCACTTCTATGAAATGGGCAAAGGCCACCTTCCTCCCAAGGTTGTTGCACAGCCAGCATATGAAAGGCTTTGAAAGGAACGCATCACTGCACAGGTGTGAGCCCATGCAGGTGTGAGGACTGTGTCCACCCACCAGAGGGGACGTAGTTATCATACGGGCCCATGTAGTTGGAGGACTCGATGTCTGCATACTTGACGTCTCCTTTCATGTCCAGCATAGGCACGTAGTCTACCGACTCGTCCTTGCTCATGTCCATGTAGCCACCATCACTCTCCCCAGTCAGGGACACATGGCTGGGGGTAGAAGAGCATTATAGGAAGGGCCACACAGACTTTCCTTCCCCTACCCTCTCCTGCCCCTTGCTCGCCCCGGGGACCCACAGCCCCTGTCACCCATGGATTGCTTCTCTCACTCACTCACTCATCCTCCTTCACTCTGTCACAATGTGAATGACCATGTTTCAAGCCCTTTCAACCACCCTGGCCCCGAGCTGGGCACTGGGGCTGCCAAGATGACCTAAGGCCCAGTGTATGTCCTCAGAGAGCTCACACCCAAGGCAATTACAGCGCCCCAGGGCAAGGGTCACAAGATGGGTGTGTACAAAGGTGCCTTTCTGTGGCCTCTCCAGAACCACCCAGCCCTGATGCCCTGCGAGTGCCTGGCCACAACCCTGGGAGGGCAGAAGGGAATAAAATAGCCTTAATACTTCTGCCTGCAGCATCAGCTCCTCAAAGAGCTGTGGGACTATACACATATGTGTCTCTACAGGGAGGAAAGACAGGGAAGGAAATTGACCAAACTGTTGGGGAGAACAAGAGAGAGTTTGAATGACTTTTGCATGCTTTTCTGAAGTTACTCTTGTCTTTGCTTTTGTAATCAGCAAAAGAACTAAGAAATGCTCTTTTTGGAAAAGAAAGGACAGGAGCTGAGTTGTCTGAGGGGCACTGGGAGGCTGTGGTGAGAAGCAAGGCTTGGAGCAGCACAGTGCAAGTTGGGAGACCTGGCTCTCGTCTTACCGCCGACTCTGACCCCTGTGTACCCTGGGACGGGAGGCCGAGGCTGTGGTGAGAAGCAAGGCTTGGAGCAGCACAGTGCAAGTCGGGAGACCTGGCTCTCGTCTTACCGCCGACTCTGACCCCTGTGTACCCTGGGACGGGAGGCCAAGACACCCACGGCACAGGGGTGTTGTGAGGCTCCAGGGGGTCAAGTCTGCAGAGGGCTTAGCACAGAACCTGGCACAGTGGGACAGATGGTAGGTGGCAGCCGACCCCACCACTATTATCATCATTATTGTTACTCCCTTGTCTAGGGCAGACTGATTTGTGAAACAGCCCTGGCTCCAGGAACGACTGCCCCCCTGTCTGCATGGCCTCAGCTTCCTCTCCTAGATAAGGAGGCAGTAAGCAGGTGCTCCTCAGGTGGCCCAAGGATTCAGTCCCCACTTTACCCCGGATACCTGGGCAGGGGGAGCCCGGCGGGCAGGGCATTGCTGTAGAGCTCGGCACTGGGCAGGTGGCGTTTGTCACAGTGGTGCTGCAGGAAGGTGTGCTTGTTGCGGTGCAGGTAGTCCACCAGGTCACCGTAGCGGCAGTACTCGGTGATGATGTAGATGGGTCCTGTGGAGGCACAGGCTCAGGGACAGTCCTGGGAGGCCTCGGGCTTCCCATCAGGGCCACAAGGCTAATAACGGACTGGATGTGGGAGAGGCAGTTTGTCACGACGGCTGAGAGGCTTTGGCGCCTTTTAAACCTGGGTTCTTTTTCTGCCTCTGTGACTGCGATCAGGGTCTTAGTCTCCCTGAGCCTTCCCATCTGTGAAGTGGGGCTAATAACACCCATCTCAAAGGGATCTCATGAGGATTAATGAGATAATGTCTTTGTGGGCTCAGCTCAGTGCCTGGCACATAGCAAGTGCCCAGTGTTAGCTGTTATTGATACGTTTTCAAACTAAAGCTTATCTTGGAGCCCAATATATAAAGCAGATAAAAACAACTGTTTATTATTGTCAGCTTACTGGTTAAATTGAAATACAGTGCATTTACTTAAAGTCAAGCAGTGGGAACTTGAAGATATCAACCAAAACACAAATTGTGAAAGGAGTAATGAGTGGTCACTACAGGCACAAATTGGTCTATGCATGCAACATAGTTCCGTATTGTTTTGGTTGTGCAATATTGAGGAAAATCCCAAATCTCACAACAAGCAGCTGCAAATGGCCATAATGTTTTGTTGTCACTGTTGTTGTTTTTTGCAGCCTAACTTGCAATCAGAGCTTCAAATAAACACAGTTTGCCAAAGAGCCTTTGTCTGTGATCTGAATGAAAGTAGCTCCCAGTTGCACGTGGGTGGTCTCCGATGGTGGGTATATAACTCATCTCAGTGTCATGTGAGCTGTTATTAGTTTTCAAAATGTATTGTGAAAATTTAAAACTGTCAGAGGACACCTTGATTTGGAAACCGCTGGGACTGGTGACCTGAAGAATGCTTCGGCTGTGAAGGTGCTGTGATTTTGTGAGTTTCTAAATCCCGAACCCATCTAGGGCTGTGAAGTGGGGGCATGCACCCTACAGCTGGAGTGTCCTGTTGTCTGTGGACTGAGGAGGGGCAGGGAGGGGCCAGGCCTTGGCCAGCTGTCCCAGAGTCCTCGGGGCGAGGAGATTTGGTACCTCCTTTGGTGCAGGCCCCCAGCAGGTTGACCACATTCAGGTGGGGCCCGAGGTGACTCATGATCTTCAGCTCTGACATGAGGGCTTGCTTCTCACTGCTGCGGGCTGTGGCTGAGGAAGGGGGATCCTCAGGCCAGGCCTGGCCACTGAGTCTCTAGGGAGGTCCCACCGGAGCCTGTTCTGGCTCTTCTGCCCACCCTGTGCTGTGAGACCCGGGTGGCCTAGGGTGGAGAGAACCCACACTTGGGGGAAGAGAAGGAGGGAGGAGGAAGGGGGAGGCAGAGGAAGGGGGAGGGAGCAGGCAGGGCCAAGGAACCCTCTTTCCCAAACCAGAATCAGGAGCTGTGCTGGCTGCAGCGACCGCACTTCTTTGCCCAGCGAGTGAGAATCAGGCTGCTCTGGGAGAGGCTGAATGTCTGGGCAAGTTCAGGGGAGAGGAGGGGCCCAGATGTGAGGGAGGACTCACATTTCAGCATCTTGACAGCCACTTTCATTGTGGCCTGCGAATGGCTCAGGCCATGAGCCGTGGCCTCCACCACCTGCCCAAAGGCCCCAGAGCCGAGGGTGCGTCCTGGGGTAGAGATGATCCCTCAGCTCTTGGCTCACCAGGAGGCTGCATCCCCCACCCAAGGGTGGGGAAGAGCCATTCTCTTAGGTCAACTTAGACATACCTCAAACCACCTTGGACTTAAGGTATTCCCCTCAAGGGGGCTCTTAAAACCACAATGCTTCCTGGTCCTTCCTGGCATCTCATCTAAGTCCTGCCTGCTTTCTGCCGCATCTTTAGTCTCTGGAAGCCTTCCTCCCTACCCAGGGGAGCACAGCAACTCTGTACCCCTTGGGCCTCCCAAGCTAGACTAAGCTCAGGCCTTGCACTCAGCCTGCCCTTAATACTTCCTCTTTTGCCACAAAGGGGTCCATCTCATAGTCACAGGATCACAGGACCTCAAGGTTGGGCAGTCCCCCGGGGGTCATCTTGTCCTCATTATACAGAGTGGGAGACTGAGGGCAAGAGAAGACAAGACACCAGCCCTAGCTCTCATAGCTAGCCATGGCAAGGCTGGGACCAGACCTCAGATGGTCTTCCCACCTGCCTTGAGTCCTCACACTGCTATGTGAGGCCTCCCGGGACTGACCAAGCACAAGCTGGTCCCGCGGAAGCTCCCACGTGGAGTCATATGGCAGCTGCATGGGGTCCACGTAGATGTACTCATGGCCATCAGAGCTCACAGACTCGATCACCTTCCACCGGATCTCGTAGCGTGGCTTCTGCAGGACCAACACCAGCAATGAATCATCAGGGGGGTCTTTGGCCTTGAGGCCCACTACGTCCAGCCCCTTCTAAGACAGATGAGGCTGGAGACCCTGAGGCCCAGAGATGGGGCATATCTGAAGTCACACACAGCAAGTGATCAACTGAGCCAAGGCCTTCATGGGCTCAGAGGGAACAGGAACCAAGGGGCCCCAGCTGGAGGGTGGCAGGGGAGCCTTCAGGACTTGGCAGGCTGAGGAGCAGCTAATGGCAAGAGCCTGGCTCATCAGCTTCTTTCAGAGCCTCACCTGCTCCTCAGATGGGAGTAGAGGATCAGGCAGCCCTGGAAAGTGACACAGGTAGGGGTACTCCGCTGGATGTGGGCAGCCCCTCCCCATGCCGGCTCAGTCACAGAGGGAATCTCAGAAAGATGTAACCTTAGCATGTTGGAATCATAGGATGCTGGAATCACAGGATTGGAATTTTAGGATGATAGAATCATGGGGTGCTGTAATCCTAATTCAGGAATTTTAACATGTTGGAATTACAGAATGGTGAAATCTCAGAAAATTTGAACTTTGACTTTGAAATTACAGATTAATAGAATCAGAATGCATTTCAGAAGAAGCACAGAAGTCTCCACGGGTTAGAGTTGCAAGTATCCTGGAGCCCATGCAGTCCACCCCAAAGGTGCCATGTCCCGTGCCTGGGATGAGCAGGGATGATGCCTGAGCAGGAAGCATGATTGAGGGACACAGCGGGGTCAGGGAACTCTGGATAGCTTGGACCCTTGTCAGCCCACGCTGCAGGGGATGGAGGCAGTTCAGACACCCAGCGTCACTCTATGTAATCTACCTGAGCTCCATGCTGAGCCCCACATGTGGCCAGATCATGCAGTGCTCAAGGAGGGCATGGGGGTCCATGCCAAAAAATATATGCCAATGTGTACCCATGGGGCCAGGGTGAGGCTTACCTTCTGCCAAAGCATGATGAGGATGATGAGGGAGATGATGGTGAGGACCACCAAGGCCAGAATGGCTGAGATGACCACCACCTTGAAGGGCAGGGCTGGAGGCAGAGACAAGAAAAGGCCATAAGCAAATAGGGTGCTTGGCAGCCGCCCTCTCCTCACCCCACCTGTGGCATCACAAATCCTCCGGACGCATCCTGCCCCGAATGGAAGCCCCTCCACCTCCCCAACAGCCTATGATGTCAGATCCTCAGCCTCTTGCTCTGAGTTACATTTTCAGCCTCTCCTATAAACACCCCTGCCCCTCAGTAACTCCCCCAGCTCAGATCACTGCCAGCCTCCACATCCCTTCAGCTCTTCTTGCCAGTCTGGCCTTTCTGTCATTGCTCTAGACTGGATGCAAGATCCTTCTCTGGGCTCCTGCCCATTGCCTGGACCTCCCATCAGACCATGAACCTCTCAGGCAGGGCTGTGGCTCACCTCTCCTCATGACCTTGTTGGGGCTGTCACAGCTAGGTCAGAGCTCTAAGTTCCATGGCCGACCGAGTTGCCAATGGACTAAATGAGTGACCACCAATGGAGCAGTAGAATGAACTCCCATAGCCTGATGAATCCAGACTGCAAAAAGGAGCCTGCTTCCTCCACAGTTTCACCCAAGGGCCCAGCAGGGGTTGGGGTAGTGACAGTAGTTATAAAGTGCATCCACCAGGGCACTGGGGTAAGTGAGCAGGGCTAACACGGGGGCCCCCAAGACCTGAGTCTCCTCTACCCCAAGGGCCCAGCCTCTTCTCTGCACAGCTTCCTATTCCTTTCCACTCCCTCCTCATTCACCTCTGACCAGGCCCTCATCTCCCCTGCCCTGCCCCACTGGCCACCCTGAGAACTTGGTCCCTCCTCCTCTGTCCCCCACCTGCCCTTCTCTGCTCTCCAGGGAGCCTTATCCCACCTCCTCCTTTGGGTCCCAGACCAACATCATTCTCTCCTCCCTCTGCCCCCCAGCCACACATCCCAGTCCCAGGGAGGAATTTCCTAGAAGCCTGCATTTTCTAGGGAGCCATCTCTGAGTGAAAAGAGGAGTCTCGTGTAGCCATCCGAGCTAGTGCCTGGCTTCTCCCTCAGGGGTCACAAGAAAAGCTTACTGTGGCCTTGCTCAGAGCTGGGCTGCAGGTCAGGCTGCCCAGACTGTCTGCCCAGATACTCACTTGCTCAGGGACATGTGTGCACGTGTGAGAGTATGGGTGCGATAAGGCTATTTAAAAAAACTGCCCATCTACCACAAGCCAAGGGACAGGAGGCAGGTCTGTGTCCCGACCTGCATGTACATATCCAAGCCCACGGATCTGCTTGGGTATACACACAGGTGTGTCCCAAAGAGTATGGGTGCGATAAGGCTATTTAAAAAAACTGCCCATCTACCACAAGCCAAGGGACAGGAGGCAGGTCTGTGTCCTGACCTGCATGTACATATCCAAGCCCACGGATCTGCTTGGGTATACACACAGGTGTGTCCCAAACACCTTGCTGGTCTTTGGAGCCCTGCTTGCTCTGGCTTCTGCCAACCCCTATAGTCCCATCCTTGACCACTTCCTTCCGCTTTATCCCCCACCTCCAACCCCTAAATAGACACACACTGTATGCTCCAGCCGGGTTGAATGCCTTTAAATTCTTGAAGTCTACTTTGCATCTGGGCTTTTGCACAGGGCATTCCCTCTGACTAGAACACCATTCCTTACCGGCTTAACTCCTAGTTATCTTTCAGGTTCTGACCTAAAGGATCCTTTTTCCAGGACACTTTCCTGAATCTCACAGCTGGGCCTGGGACCCCTTCTCCCTCCAGTCTCTCCCCACAAAGTGATGATCCCCAGTGGAACTGCCTAGTTCCTGGCTGCTTCCTCTGTGGACTGGACTGCGGGGAATAGGAGGGCAGGCAGGGCTGGGCCCTTTGGCTTCTATACCTCCAGTGAGAAGCTGGGTCCCTATGACTATTTATTGAGTGAGGAAACAGGTGAAATACATGCATACAGTACATACATGCATAGGGATGGGCAGAGAGATGTGCAAAAGTATTCAGGCACTGGTAGGCATTGCTCACATGTACAGGAATTACACAAGTATATGTACCTGCTAAAAGACATACATTATACAGCAGGCATATGTGTATGGGGATTGTGCTTGCGTGCTTTTCCAGAAAGGTGTGCAATTACATGTTTACAGACATGCACTATGCCAGTTTGCACACATGCACAGGAATTGTACATGCATTGTTTGTACAAGTATGGAGATTCTGCACCCACATGCACAGGCATACAGACATACATACTCTGTAGGTTTATACACGTCGGAGGCTGGGTATGCTCACATACATGGCTTACCAACATACGCTCAGTGGGCTTACACACATGGACAGGCATTGTGCATGCTTGAGTATATACTTGCAGACATACCCTTACAGAGTACATGCTTACAGACATATGCTGGCTTTACCAGCCTGTATGGGGATTGGGCACTTTTCAGTACACAGTTTACAAATCTACAGATGGAGGGTTTGCATCTTTGTGCAAGGATCAGGTATGCTCATGTACAGGGCTCATGATATTCATACAGTTTACATACACTACACATAAGTGCTATTCATAGCCATGGTTTATAGACTTGTGTTTGTACATGTGTGCTCATATTGTGTTTTGTGTATGTGCACAGGAACTCATGCTGTTGGGTTTCATAGTGCTCCTGTGTACCCACAAGCATGCTGACTCTCTTGGCCTACTGTGGGCATAGGGGTACAGTCCCAAGTATGGTTGGGGTTGTCAGGGGGCCGCTGAGGCTGGGGGACTCACAATGTGGCACCACGGTGACCTCCTGAGCATCCTGGCCCAGCAGATTGCGCAGAGTGCAACGCACCGACAGTGGCTGATCCACATGGCGCAGGCGCAGCGTGCTCACCACCTCGAACTCCTGCTCCTCTGCCCAATAGGTCACGTTAGTCTCTAGCTGGCTCTCCTCCTCAGAACTGTTCCCCAGGGGTGTGGGTGGCAGCTGGCGTGGACACCTGCTGGAAGAGCCAGTGGGGTCAGTTTTCAGCCCCTTTCCTATGCAGACAGGGAAACTGAGGCCAAAAGCAGGCAGCGCCATGGAGTGGTGGTGGAAGGAGGTAGGACGTGTCAAATCCCTGCTGCCTCCTACTGCCTGGTCTGAGCATGTTCCTCCTGTGGTCCATGGACTGACCGGCAGAGGGCGCTCCTATCCCAGAACTGAGAGCCCTGTATTACAAAATCCATTCTTCTCATTTGACCCCCAGGGTCACACGGTGTCAGGGATAGAGGCAGAACCTGAACTCAATTCTGCATCTGTCCACTACACTAGAATCAACCCTGACCAAGGGTACAGAACAGATCTACCGGGTGGGTGGGGTCTCTGGAGCACAGACCCTGCATTGTGCTGATCAAGGTAATCAAGGGATCAAGATAAGGAAAAAGGACAATTTAGGTCATGCAGAGCATTTCCAAGGAGGTGGTAGATGTAGCTCTAGCCTGGAACAACGTGCCCAGAGGAAGCTAGACTAGATAACCTTCACTGGGTCCTTCTAGCCAGCTGTGGGACCCCTGGAAAACCGAGGCCTGGGGTCTGCTCACCTTTTGAGGTCTTTGCAGGTAGACCAGGTGATGTTTGGCTGGGGCATGCCCCGGCCACGACAGCGCACTGTCTGCTCTCCACTGGCAGGGGGGCTCTCACTCAGCTCCAGCACACGGACTGGGACTACATGGAGAGGGTCAGGAGAAGGGGAGGTCAGAATAGATAGTCAACAGGAAAGGCCCTCAAGGGAGGACCTGGCCCACAGTCTCCCTTGGGGGGTGCGGGACTACAGACCGCAGGTGAACACTAAATACCAGGATTCAGAGTGTGAAAACTGATGGATTCCCTTTCTGAGTACTTCAAAGGGAGAGCCTCAGTAGGGTGCTATTCTGTCTTTAACACCTCTCTGAGACTTGCTAATCTTCCCTTTTAACAAAGAGAGAGCATGCCTCAAACTCAGAGCCCTGGGCAGCCAAGCTCATGAAGTTAGAATTTAATAGTATTGTTTTGTTTTATCTGAGTTTATTTTAGTGGTTGCTTTATATTTATGACATGTGACATTGATTTTCCATCTACAACTGAGAGGTTAAATTTTGTCTTTCAAAATAAATTTATTTTTAGAAAGTCAACTGACAAAACATTAAGTCATTATCGTGTCATTACTCTGCTCAAAAGTCTGCAGTGGCTCTTCATTTCAGTCATGGTAAAAACCAGGTAAAAGCCAAAGCCTCTACCAGGCCCACAGGGACCTACACTACCTCCCCACCCCTCTCTACCTCGTCTCTTCTCTGACCTCATCTCCCACCACTCTTCTCCCTCTGGCCATGCAGGCCTTTCTGCCATAACTCTGGCCCTTGCATTGCATGGGGTGTCCTTTCCCCTAACACCCTAATGCCCTCACCTACTTCAAGTCTTCATGCAAACGTCAACTCCTCAATGGAGGCCAACCCTGATCATCATTTTTTTTTTTCCTTTTTGTCTTTTTTCGTGACCGGCAACGGATCGCAACCCTCAGTGTTGCGCCCGTACCAGACCGGGACCGGCAACGGGATTGCAACCCTCGGTGCCGTGCCCGCACCTCACTCAGCCAGTGAGCGGGAACCGGTCTGTATGTGGGATCCGAACCCTCGGCGGGAGCGCCGCCGCACTCTCAAGTGGCGCACTGTAGCAGTGCACCACCGGGCCGGCCCCTGATCATCATTTTTAAAAGTGCAATCCTCACTGCCCCATGCGCCCAGCACTCTCAATCCTACCTACCCTGCCTTTATTTTTCTCCCACAGTGCTTGTTACCTTATAACCTATGTAATTTGCTGGAGTTTCTCCTCCTACTGTTTAATGTTTGTCTTCCCTCACTAGGATGCAAGGTGCACAAAGGCAGGGCCTTAATAATCCTGAACAGACTGGCATATTGTAGTTGCTCAGTAAATATCTATTGAATTAATAGTGCAGTATAAGTGATATGTGAGAAGGAAAAATCATGGCATTGGTACATGAATGTCTAAGGTTTTGGAAACATCAATCTAACCCAATAGCCTTCTTGTACAGCTGGGGAAACGGAGGCCCAGAGAGGGGACATGCCAGGTTCACAAGGCATTGTATCAGCGGCCTAGAACCCAGCTTCCTGAGTTCCAGGCTCCTTCTCCAGCTCCTCCTACAGGTGGAAGGGGAAGGAGAAGGGAAATAGGGACAGGGTTGGGGGATCCTCACCATTGACCTGCAGCTGAAAGGAGAGCTGGGCCTCAGCGTCCTCATGGAAGGCCCGCATGGTGTAACGGCCAGCCTCTGCCACCTTCACCCGCACCAATGTCAGCTCTGACACATACCTGGGGAGTAAGACAGGCCAGGAGACCCAGCTGTCAGAGCTGGAAGAACTCACAGCCGTCCCCACCCTCCCTGTATGGACAGGAAAAACAAGGCCCAGGGAGGATAAGGGGCTTGCCAAAGTCACAAGGTGTCAGTAGCAGAGCCAGGACTCTCCCCACCCATAGGCAGTTCCACTGAGCCAAGTGGGAGGCTTGGGAGGGATTGTCAAAGGAGGGGGGAGCCCTTTTTACTTCACCCTCCTCTTCTCATCCCCTGCACAAAGGCCTGACACTACTTTATAGGAACATATCACAAGCTCTTTCTGCTAATCTCTAGCCTCAGAACTATCACAGGTGGCAATGAGTGGACTGCCTGGCACCCTCTTCCTCAATCATCTGGCCTTTTTCTTCTTGGCACCTGCCTGCTGGCTCCACCCATCACAAGGATAACTAAACATCTGGGTGATCATGTTTCCCCACTAGACCAGAAGCTCTAGGAGCAATGGAACTCTCTGCTGTGGTCGCTGCAGCATCCCCAGCACCTGGCATGGTGCCTGGCACATAGTAGGGTCTCAGGAAAGATGGGCCTAGGTTTGCCGAGTGGCTGAAGGCCATGGACTGTCTAGGGGCTGCAAAGACCAGTAGCTTCAAAAATGGAGTGGGTGAATGGCTGCTCACCAGGTCTCCGACACATTGCGTGTGGACAAGGCAATCTCGCCGGCACTGGTGTCGCCCAAGGTGCGGTTGTCCTTGAACCACAGGACGGTGGGTGGTGGGTAAGCCTCAAACATCACCTGCAGTGTCCTGCTCCTGTGCAACTCAGCGAATTGTAGAGCATCCACTTCTCCCAGCAGCCGCACGTATCCGCTCTCTGCGAGGGGTGGCCATCAGGGGCGGGGCCCTGGGGGAAGGACTATGCCCAGCCACCAATGGGGCTGCGCCTCCCCTGGCCGGGGCTCCTAGGGGTGGGGCATCAACTGAATGCCAAAGGTGCCCAGTCTTCTGGGGGCGGGGCTGTAGGCTTTAGGAACCCAACCAGCGGTGGAGTTTTGGGACCTGGGATTGAAGTTAGGCCCACGACTGGAGCAAGGGGCTGATGTTGATGTTGGGGCCGGCTCTGAGGTTGGGGCTGGAGTTGTAATTCTCTATTCTGGCTCGATATGGTGGCTGAAGTAAATTGGAGCCTGGGGCTAGCACTGAGGTTGAATTTGGGGATGGGGCTGCCTAGGCCTGAGGTGGCTGTTGGGATTAGAAATCAGGAAGGGGCTTGGGGTTCTGGCTAGGTGGAAAGTCTAGGTTGGGTTTAAGGTTGGATTTGGGGCTGACATTGCACTTTGGTTTGGGTTTATCCCGGAATGAGGCTTTGGTTGGCACAGAGGCTAGGAGTAGACTGGAGTGTAGCTGGCTGTACCCCATGGCTGTGACAGAGTCTGGGTCCAGCTCAGATTGGGGGTTGAGGTTGAGCCCAAGACACGCACCGACCACAGTGACATTGATGGCCTTTTCATCTTGACGGTCGTACACACTCTCTGACACATTGCAGATGTAGGTCCCTGAGTCGCCCAGCTCAGCATTGGGGATGTGCAGGCTGGAGCGAATGTGGTAGGGAACGTCCAAGGGGAAGTCAGTCACTGGCTGCACCAGCCGCCCACTCTGCAGGGAGAGGTAGGGCAGATCCCCCAAATCAGGAGGGGTCCATGGAAATCAGTCTGTAAGCCGAGATATTCCATCCCTGCTCAGTCCCGCCTCCAACCCCTAGCTCAGCATTACCTCCATGCGGGGGTACGTCCATTCAAACTTGACCACCTCATTCCCGATCACAATGCACATGATGGTGATGTTCTCACCCTGGCGGACCACAGTCTGCACTGCGTTCACTGAGATATTCATGGATGACACTGGTGGAGAAAGATTGGCTTAGGGCTGGGGAAGTCACCACTAGCCACCAGCTCTTCAACTTGGGGATGGGATAGTAGTCCAGAGAGGAAAGGGATGACTGGTGTGGAAAATGCATTCATTTGACAAATATTTATTAAATACCTACTATATGCCAAGTACCATTCTAGGTAAAACTATGGCAATGAACATGACAGACAAAGTCTCTGTCCTCCTGGAACTGAAATTCTAGAAGAGATGAGTCTGGAAATCAAAGTACTATTTGGGGGCCTAAGTACAGGAGAAACTTTTTGAGCACATACTATGTGCTAGGTACCTTCCACCTTTTGTTTTATTTAATCTTCTCAATAATCCCATGAGGAAGGCAGTCATTATTATCCTCTGTTATGGAGGAACAAGTAGGATCAGAGAGACTCTGTGTCGTGTGCAAAGTCATTCCGATGGGAAGTGGTAGAGCTGGGATTCAAATCCAACTNTCTGTGTCGTGTGCAAAGTCATTCCGATGGGAAGTGGTAGAGCTGGGATTCAAATCCAACTAGCTCCAAAGCCTGTGCCTTTGCCCACTGCATTATACAGCCTAGCTCTGCCACTAACATACTCCATGACCATGGCAAACTCCATTTTCTCTCTGAGTCTCAGTTTCCTCATCTGTTAAACAGGGAAAACACTATGTCCTTTCCAAGGCTATAGTAAAAATCCAATGAGAAATGGAGTTGTACATTATGTAAACTGTAAAGGGCTATGCCTCTGTAAAGGGTTATACTTGCCTCTGCTGAGCATCAGGCCAGAAAGGGGGCTCACCCTGGAGGCTGTAGACATAGTAGACATCGGAATCCACCTCCCTGTCCCCGATGGTGGTTTTGCAGATGTAGGACTTGTCCTCCAAGGTACCAGAGAAGCCACGTTGGTGGTCATAGGGAATAGGCAGGGGGGCATCGTCTTTCTTCTCGTGCAGTGTCACCACCAGCTGTGGGTCTGTCACTCGGCATGGAATTGTGATCTCACTTACTTCCGTGAGAAAGATGAATAGATCCTCAGGTTCATTAGGGAGGAAGCCCATGGTGGGATCTGTCGGGGGCAGAGGGGGATGGGAAGCCAAGAATGAGAATCAGGGGAACTGGGTTTCTGGCTATCCCTTGAATTGCCACGTAACTTTGAGCAAGTCTCTTCCTCCCTCTGGTCCTCAATCTCCTTATTACAGAATAAGGATGCTCCTGTGGTTTGAATGTTCCCTCCAAAACTCACATTGAAATTTAATTGTCATTGTGACAGTATTACCAGGGGGGACCTTTAAGAGGTGTTAGGCCCTGAGAGTTCCAACCTCATGGGTGGGATTGGTGCCATTGCAATAGGGTAAGTTCGGCCCCCTCTTGCCCTCTCTTGCTCTCTTGCCTTTCTGCATAATGGAATT